GAACATCCCTGAGGACAATATAGATTTTAATAGCACTGCTGTCGAGATGGTGATGGCTGTGGGAAATGACACAGCACACTTTGTTGGGTACAGTCAAATACACAGTAACACAGACCACAGGCCTTAACATTATGAGAATAAAGCGATGGACAGTGAGTTATCCTGATCCAGATGGGACAAAGCCCCGCGTTTGTAACCTTATGTTTTTATGAAACAGAGAAGTTGGAATATTCTGTTGTAGTACCAAGAAATAATATGCCCTGCTTCTCAAAATTATATGAATACGCAGTTCCTGATGTAAAAAGACTGTTAAAAGACTGTTTAAATATTGTGTAATGGGTTGTGGTACAGTTAATCTTTTAAAAGTCTTATCTCTGTTTATACAAGACGATGCTGATCATTTTGAAGATTTCAACATGAAGTTCACTTTTTACCATAATAAACAAGGATGACGGTCTAAACAGAAACTATCCTACAAAGCCCAGGAGCGGACATATGGAAAAATATTTACATCTTGACTTTGTTGCCACCAAGAGATAAGTAAGGCGTGTGCATGACAAATCATTTTCTGGCCACAACACGATAAATCATGTGAAAAAAGCAGTTGTCTTATGGCTACAGCAGAAATATCTGAAGCTTATGCCCTGAGACACAAACCACAAAGGAACATGATTAATTCCATCTGGACACAGCCTCTTCAAACTTCGTACAAATCCATGACAAAGCTCACACATTTTTAACTTGTGAAGAAAATAAATTTTCTGGGGCTGTTTTTTTTCTGTATTCACAATAAATGCAATTATGTTTTGGAATAAAACTCTGACAGTATGAATGGTTCCATTTACTGAGACTGTATATACAGCCACACCTTTCCATTTCATCCTCCAGCACAAGACAGTCCAATCCTTGTCCTAAAGGGACAGCCTGTCTGTAGGTTTGCAGAAGGTCCTAGAGTAGTAAAGCAGCGGCACCCAAAGAGCTCAGAAAAGCTGTTGAATTCGTCCAATTCAGACAGTAATGAGTTGATTCGTAAGCCATCACCTGGACTGAAAACGTGTTGGCACACTGACACTTCGAGATCAGATTGAAGACTCCTGGTCATAGCATGGTGGTTCCCAATTTTGGTCATGGCAGAGCTCTGAAACTCCAGTGCAAACTGACTTCACTTAATTGATTCATAGATCTGCACGTTTGCATGTTTAGAGTTTTATTTAACTGGTTTCTTTGGTCAGTCCTGCATTAAACATGCCCTACTTCAACAGTTACTTCCTTCCAACAACTTTACCATACAGGACTTTACACAGCCTTCTCTCAATTTGCTTGCTATTACATTTAATTCTTCCGCAGAGATCTAAGCGGTTATATTTCGGGCCATGCAGCTTTTTCTGAAACTAAGTAATTGGCACAGGGCTCCAATGTCCCATTTGGTTAAGAGTTAAAATAAAATTGACAAATAGAAACTATAAACGATCGGCCTGTGATTAAGAATTTGACAGAAGAGGCAGTGTTCCTCCAGGATGAGGCTGAGAACAACCCCTCTTCATTTATGACAGAGTTTAGACAACAGTACTGGAATTTTGAGTTGGTTTTGTTTACAACTGTGGTTTGCCACAGGCAGTTCATTTTTTTTTTTGTGCTGGAATGGTATTAAAAAACAAACGCAAATGCTTAACTCCCTCTGGAGTTCCTAACTAGGATCTAGTATTTCTGTAGGTTTTGTGTAAATAGACAGAGGGTTAATCCCTTTGCTAACCTAAAGCAACATTTAAACAGTTTTACTTGATCTGTATGAGGTCTTTTTTTTCTTATACCTTTAGACTACAGATACCTTTACAATTGTTGGTTCTCTTTTATCTATTTTTGGCTTCTAAACTATTGGTCTCAAAACACCAGACCAGTCTTAAATAAAAGACCAAACTCAGATACAGTGCAAAAGGAGACAGCTGTACTTAATTTGTTTGATGTAAACTACAAATTCCAATCCCAATATCCCTATAGATCTAGGACTACAAATTATTATCATGATAAAGTTTCCAACACCTTTGACCTATAGTACAACCCTTCTACTATCTTGCCTCATTTTCTATCACAGTCCTTAAAATTATGTCCCAAAAGGAAAAGAGATCAGCTTTACAGCTGTGTAGTTCCACTCTAATGCAGAGAATAAGACTAGATAATTATCTTTAGATATCCAAATCCTGGTCAAGCACAAAAATAAGTAGTCTTCAGGGGTGTTTATTTATATGGGCATTGCAGGGGAAATATTTACATTTCATAACTGAATAGCCAATAGTAGCTTCTGTATCTATACTTATCTATTGGCAACATAAGCAATACGAATGAGATAATTGTGTCAAGGTTATGGTATTCTGATCCATTGAGCACAAATCGATGATGTCACGGCAAAGATAATACTTAGGAGTAAGCTGTACAGTAAGCTCATGTTTTATTTATGAGTAACACTTAACAAATGACTGACAACCACCTTCCGAAAGAAAGATAGTTGTTGCCTGCTGTCGTTAAAAAAACCCAACTAAAACATGCCTAACTTATTTCATTCACATTCAAATGTAAAAGTACTAAAAACTAAGAGAACTAAAAACATTACAGCTGAAAGCCAACTCAAGAGAGTTCACTGAAGCTTGTTCAAGTGCAGGCCAGCTCTGCTTTTCATGTAGCATTTTTAGACATGTCAGCAAACACTGACCGCATTCACTGGCTAAGAAAATATGTGGATAGCAAATTTCCCTAGGTGCCCTTTAAGTGACGTCTTTATTTACAGGCCCTTAAGCTGCTGTGTGGATTCTGTGCTTCATCACACAGTCCAACAGCCAGCCAACAGCCTAAAGTCTGAGTCTACGTCTGCCAGATACAGAAAAGTTAAAGTGCTCTTTACCTTTGCCATCTCTGCACCCCTTCAGTATTTCTCTTCTCTTATGCCAAGGATAAAAGGTGTGCAGAAATTCAGAGCAGCATACATACAATACAGAACATACTATGCTACATATTAGAGAATACCCCTAATCATAGGTCACTCCATATTCAGCAACGATTACAGCTACAATATTTAGCGGTTTCGTTTCCACTAGATGAACGTGTCTATGGAGATATGGGACCGCTTTGCCAACAGTAGTTAGTGCAGCTCATTGTGAGATGTGGACAGTGGATGAGCAGTTTTTTTTTTGTTAACTTTAGCTGTGCTTCCAAGCAGGTGCTTTCTGTCTGGTAGTCACTGCACTGGAAACCCTTGAGGGTGTCGGAACTGAAACACCAACCTGGACTGCACAGCACACTGCTGAAACTGTATTTGAGCCTAAATGATAAAGTTGGATTTTTACAAGGAACTATCATTTAACTGTACTATCATATAACATTGCTAACTGTGTATGAAAAAAAAAACATTAATCAGGGTGGTGTAGTAGCATGGAGGCTAGCACTGTTAACTTCTGAACTCTTGGGCTCTAGGCTGAACCATGGACTTGGCACTAGAGCCCATGAAAAAAAGCCTTCGCAGATGTGCATATAGTTCACAAAGGTGTAATTCATCACAGTGTTGCGAGTGTGAATGTCCCCTGAGTCACACGAACCACGAGTAGGACTCTTCCATAATTAGTACAGCATAGAGAGCAAATACTACTGTTGTAGAATGTCTTAGTCTTTATGTTTTTAAATACTTCACACCTGTAACTAGTTACCCTTTCTAAGTTGTATTTGTCTGATGCTTTTCATGAAACAGGGCCCTTTAGTGTAAATGTGGAGTTAGGTCTCTCAATCCTTTTCTTTGTTTGCAAAAGAACAAGTGAATGTTAATCTCAAAAGTAGAGAGAAGAAAGACAACATTTCGATGGTTGAGCCTTCAGTCTTCTGGGTTTGACATGCCTGCCAGCTGAAGAAGGCAGAAGTGCTCAACTGTAGTGTTCTTTCTTTTGACTTTTCAGTTCAGGTCAGTTTATTGTCATACACACAACGAAAAGCTTATTTGCAGGTATGCTCCGATACAGAGACATTAAGGAAACACCAAAAAGCTAAACACAGAACAGTGGCAGCAGCAACAAGTTAAATAACACACAGCTAAGAACAAAACCATCAGTGGGAGCTGAAGTTAATTTCAGCGTGGAATTTAAATTTAAAAAGGAATTAACCTTTAAATTCCTTTGCAAGCCGGTGTAGGCCGGTGCAGATCCCCCTTTGAATTGGAATCTCTGTTTATTCAACACATGTCATTTAATATCAAGGGTATGTACAGTATCACTTCCATATTTTGGATTGCATTACAATATCTGAGTATTGAAAGTGCCTGCTTTTAACAAAAAGGAAAGATTTTCTTTCATGTATTTTTGTTGTTTTGTTATACAGCTATGGCAAGGTATGAAATGGTTGACTGTTGCCTAGTATCTATTTTACTCCTGATTGAGGGGCAACACCGAACCCTAAATCTGCTCCAGGCTGGAGTCAGCTTGAGAGAGAGTTCCAGGAGAACCCTTGAGCACAGGGAGGAAGGCGGGAACATGGATGGAGACGCCAGTCTATCGCAGGTCTTAAACGGCACATTTAGGGTCACCTGTTAATCAAGCCAGTGCGACTTTGGAGAAGGAAACTGGCAGAAGAAGTGAAAACACAGGCGAACGCAGGGGACCATTCAAACTCCACAAAGAAAGTGCTACAGTGTAGAATCGAACCAGGATGGACAGTGGGGCTGCAGGGCGACCCTCCACTCTACCGTGTCACCCAACAAGATTTAATATACACAGACAAACTTCACCTCAAACACACTGATGAGTCAATTAAAAGGTCAGCTAAATTTGGCATTACTTTGTGGAGATATACGAAGTGCTTTTTGCCAACTAATGAAATTAAAGAAACTCTCCAGCCAATGAAAAATGCACCACATCAAAAGGCACACTTCTAAAAAGCAGTGAGGAACAAATGTTTGGCTTTTCACTATGAGCCACAGATTTGGGGGATAACTGGCAGATGAAAAATAGTCTTTCGTTCTGTACCTTTGGCTCCGATTTTCCTGTCATTGTCTTCAGCAGTTCATGGAGATGAGGCCAGTTCCCTTGCGAGTACCAGCCGGGCTTGTCCAGCGCTGGAAGGCCCTCACTGTCCTCCTCGTCATCCACTGCCACCAGAGAACAAACAAGGCGACATTTAACAGGAGGTAAAACTAAGACAAATGGAGGGGTTGCGTTTGTAAAACAATTAATCTAAAAAATATCACGTACTCCAGTGAAAACCAACAAATCTCTTTAAATCACTTAACTTATAAAGTTAAAAAACGACTGAAATCGCAATCTGTGTATGTACTCATTTGTTCCTAAAGTAGTCTTTAAAGCAGTATTTAAAATGACTATTATATATTTGACAAAAAATAGCTGCAGTTAGTCTGTATTTATTAATAGCAATTACTTTGGAACATTCATTAATCTTATTTGACTATTATATAACATTGACAGTGTTAAATGCCAGCTGGATTCCTCATGATGTGTAAGTTTTCATAAAGTGGGAAATGAGAGATGGGACTCATCATAAAATGGTGAAATTTGTTTTACATTATTTACAGGATAAAATACTCAAAAGGCCCAAAGCATATCATCAAAAGAACTTGAGGTTCACAAAAATAAAAGTGTGTAAATTTCAATTAAAGGGGAAGGCTAATTAAAAAAAAAGTCCCAAAAGTTAGTGAGAGCATTTGACTTCAAATTCCCAAATTTAAATGAAATAAAGCTGAACCCCTTTCCACCCTCACAAATAACCCCAACCAAGTGCAGACCAAGATGAGTTTAGAGCTCAATGGCATATTCACACCAGTCCCATTCTGATGAGAGATGAGTTCAGTCATAATCCCAAAGATGAGAGCTTTTCAGCATTGGTTTCTCAGCCAAACAGACCCAGATGTCTTAAACTGGGGCACTTTACATTCATAGCAGGATAATTATTGTGATCAGTGGGTAAAATTAACCTGTCTCACAATGGTCTAAGCTCAGGTGAACAATGGTGAATTCTGTTTTACAATGACAGGAAGAGTCGACATCAAATAACCAAAAAACTACATCGCTATAAATGCTTGTCATCTTTGTGGTAACTCTTCCGACACCTCCTGCTTAATACCCCAAAAGCCAAAGGGTTTGAGAGGCACAGCTTTCATGGTCTGTATATACAGTAAACTGAAAATTAAGATGAAGTGAGATTTTGCTCTTCTGCTAGTTCTGACCGAACACTACTGATTCAACAATATGTAAATACAAATGTATTGTAACAATTTGGTAAATTCAGAAAAGGTGGCAGATTTTGTCTGAACTACATTGCCCAGAAAGCAGTGGGGGAATGACCTTTTGCCCTTAGTCACCTGACTGGTGGAAGACAGTTGGTCATGTGACAATTTAAATAACAAGATGCAAAGGCATCTGAGGTCAGTTTGCATCTGACATCTGGCTAGGTGATTCTCTGTTAAGTACAGCACCAAACGGGAAAAAAATGAAGCAACCAACCAAGTGTGGCACCATGGGACATTGAAAGTTTTGAGTAAATGGTTTACTCTGGTGCTGGCAAATGGCTTTCCTGGGAGGTCTCCCATCCAGCTAATGGCCAGGATCACACCTGCTGAGCTTCAGTGGGGTGCCAGTTGTGAGTTTCAGGGTAATTCACTCTTAAAACTGTTTATTTTTGTGTATTAAAGTAAAGAGTAAAAATATTTACTTTAAAAAAGTGCATCCATCTTATGTTATTCAACAAAATGGGACATCACTGAAATGGGGTGAACACTTTTGTTAGGCATGGTGTAGGGTTAGCCTGTTGCATACTGCAGTATGGGCACTCCTGTGCACAAGCCCACGTGGTGTCACAATATATGTAAAATATTACAAATAATCAGCTAATGTTTAAAAATGAAAAACATAATTCTGTATTGCTGGCCTTATAGTCCAATACTTCATACACCAAGGTGATAAATCTATTTATTTTTCTTTATAAGCAAGAAAAAGGTTATGAATTGTACTGTCATTCATACAGTATTCCTATATATTTGATGTCTGCCCCTGTAGTAAGTCACTATATCCATGTTCTGTAAGTAATACTATTTTTTTTCCTTGAAATTGTAATATAAATGGGAGTAAAAAAAAAGCAATAACCTGAACAAAGTCAATTTCAGTTGTACATAGAAGCAATGGACCCTTCACTTCAGTGTCTGACATCTTTCCCTCAGTACAGGCTCGATGAAGTTCATTTTGGGGTTATGTATATAATACATATTTTAGCAGAAAAAGAAAAAAAAAACATATGGCAGCAGTTGTTGTGATGTAGAAACTGGAATGGGAAGTATGCAGTTACTCAGAGTGCATGGCCCAGCTGTTTACAGAAAGGAGTCATGGTATGATACCACTGGAATGTATGAAGGGTTACAGTCGAGAGGAGAGCATTCAGCCCCTGAAGTTGTTTTTTTTTATCACTAAATGATCCCAAAATCTTTTTCAGTCCATCCCTCAGGACCCCGAGTGTCAGTCTGGCAACTCTCCCTCTAACCTCTACTCATTTTTTAATCACATTAGAGTGAAAGGGACAGAATGCTTTAAAAAAAACCCAAAGAAATTAAAATTAACACTGAATCCTGTGCATTCATTTTCACCTTGATTCATCACATTTTTTCCAGACTTTCTACGACTATAGATGTCAACATGCAGGTGATGGCAGAGAGATGAATTTCTTTATTTTTCCACTGCCAGGGAGGTTTGTCTTGTACCTGCATGCACCAAAACTTATTGGATTTCATCTGGTTACTATTTTCAGACTTTATTTTGCTACACATGTGCAGTACCTGAGAATTTGTTCTCGTCCTTACCCTGCTTGATTCCTAGCAATTGGTTTGTCTGGATTATTTTTTCAACTTCTATCTCTCACAATATCGCAGTACAGCACTTATTATTCTACTACAACAGCTCTTTGACTCATAACTTAAAGATCTGTATTGCACTAATTCTTTCAGGATCTCCTGGGATATTTATTTCGGAGATACCCCCCTTTGGAAACTGTGATTGTTCTGCTTCAGCTGTCTATATCTGTTTTTCACTGCTGAGACCACATTCCCTTAGTCTTACACCCCTGCTATCCCTTCTTCCGTAGTCACTGCTGAGTCATCTCAAATTTCACATACCGTAAATAGTATTGCATTTTATTTTTAAGAACTTAAGTAACCCTTTTTTTGTCATCATGTTTTATACTGCAATATCTCCAAGACACTATCACATCACATTCAGATATTCAACCTCTCTGGTACACTGCTGGTATACCTCACTGACTTAACAGGACCTTTAAAATAGATGAGATGGGCCCAGGAAACATGCAGCTGTAATATACAGAAAATCTGTGCTTTTTTTTTTTTTTACAGTGCAGGAAAAGTACACCAGAAAATTACAAAACAAAAGCCTAGCTCTTCCTTGAGCCTTCAAACTTATTTTAAAAATCCCTGTCTAAGAATAAGCAGGCTGCTAATCATTTTACTGGCTGCAAAACAGTCTTCACTAAAAACTCTTCCAGGAACAACTCTTCAAGCCTCTCTTGGAGACTTTTCAGGAAACAAAATTACTCAGAGGTTCCCGGTTGCTTCCTTCCCTCTGCTGAACGCTGCACAAAGATGACCTGCCTCTGTCCCTCGGTGGCAAATCAAGCCAAAACTGAAACATCCCTTCCTGATTTTTAAACTAATCACCTGACCAATCATCTCCTCAGAGCTGAGAGGGTAACAGATCATTTATTACAGCATTCTGGGGAATATCAGTCAGATAAGGATCTACTGCACATCTCATCGTAATCTATTCTTATACAAATGATAAAAAAATCTAAAACTAGAATCAACTGAGTCAGCAAATAAGCCAACCCTAATTGATATCTTACTCATACATATATCAGTCAACTGAAGATGTGCGCATTGTTGTTTCACAGCTTGTGCTTGAAAGTGAACCATCTCTTTTGATTGAAGCTAAAATGCAGCTTTGAGAATAGTTATAAACTGGCTTTTCTACATCATCTTGATTTTAGAGGGATGCAGACATTATTTCATCTCACCAGTTAAGACGCCTGGACACGTTTGAAAGACGCCAGCTGCCAGCAAGCACTAATTATGGGTTTAAGAGTCAAAAGTTGCGACAGCTCTCGGTTTAGTCCCGAGCTGTTAATTTTAATTTAGTACAATCATTTTGCTTGGTGAACCTCTAGGGCCTCTAAGAATCCCAATACTTGACTTTACATCAGACAAATAAAAAATAAATGTACCATTAAGAGTTACAAATTAAGCTATTACAACCATCAATTCCCAAAGACATCTTAGGGATTTGTAATGTAGTGCTAGAGAAAAAAAAAACTAAATTCATTCAATGTACACTTCATTATTGCTAACTGTGTGATAGGTACTTACTAAACAATAAGATTTGGTTGTCTTTGCTCAATACAACCAGTTCCTCAACTGAAAGTACTAGCCGTGCTTTGTAAAACTGTCAGCAATCAATATGCTGGTGAAGATAGTACTGAAGCATTTTTTCTAAAGATTTCTGCTCATCATCTAATATCTGCTCCACTGGTCCACCTATTCAGTCTCTTTTCAAACAGATGCCATCAAAACAGGCAAAGTCCTCTGTTCTTCTATGTCTTGTCAAGGGGTTGTAATACGGCAGATCCTAACTGCTAAACAGAGGTTTGAGTGTACAGCTTTGTCGCTGGCGCAAGCTTTGTCCATGGCGAAAAGTAGAAACTACACTAGGAAGGGGCCAGCTGTACTCCAGTCCTAGTGCAGTGTATAGTAACTGTGAGTGTGTATAATCAGTATAATAAAGTGGTTAAATTGACTTAAATAAATGCATGTCTTTGTAAATTCCCTTAGAACGTACATTCAATATAAATTGTTTAATATATTCAGACATTTTTTTTAGGTTTAGGTGACCTGGAAACACAAGTTAGGAAAAAATGATATGATATAAATACACCTGCAGATGTTAACTTGGTGAAAAATATGGCAATGCTTTGTGACATGATTTAGATAACATAAATGGAACACACTGAATACACTAAACCTTCACATACTGTACAAAAGAATAGTTTGAAAGGTCACAAATGTAGCTAACTTTAGGGTAAACTATGTTACACAGTAACTCCACTTGTACTACTTTTTGAAGTACTGGAGCTATAGAAGAGACTTCTTTACATTGTATTATTTTCTTATTAAGAAGAATGTTTGTAATGCAATGGTACAGACAATGTAATAAAAAAACAGCCTATTGTAAACAACAAGAATTCGACAATTGGACTGCTTTTTAGATCACCTTAAACCTTTGCAAAATGAAGAATTTACAGCAAGTCAAATCTTGTATTAATTTGGTAAGCTTAAAGTTGTCTGTGACTGTAGTGGAAAACCTGGTCAACACGTTTGTCTTCTCTAGAATTGATTACTGCAATGCTCTGCTCGCTGAAGTATCTCAATGCACTCTGAACAAACTTCAGTGTCCAGAATTCAGCAGCTAGAATCCTGACCAGGTCATGTCAAGTAATCAAATTACTCCTGTCCTGGATTCCTTGCACTGACTTCCTATTACGTTTAGTGTCGACTTCAAAATCCTCATGTTCACCTACTGTATAAGGCTCTACATGGCTTAGCACCTCAGAACCTACCTGGCCTACTACCTTCACCACCTTAACTGGTCTGACTCTAGTCTCCTGTTCAGCCCCCCGGCATGTCTACATACTATCAGTGACAGGGCCTGCTACACCTCAAACTAGGCTGTAGTTTTCAAGGGAGATCTTATGACTTGATTGTAATATGAGTGATCTTAATAGTGTGGATCTGTTGGCAGTATTCATCTTTAGACTAAACTACAGCTGATTCGGCTGCATCAAACGCACCAATACATTTCCTTTGACTCTACCTAAATGTTCCTCTTACTATTATGACAAGTTGTTAAACTATTCAATTCTAGATGAAAAATGAATTAAACATTCCTGTAATTGCAGTACAACCGTACACAGACAATACAGTAATGTCCGCACTACTGTATATGAAGTCATATAACAACAGTATGATCTAAATTAAGTAAAGAAGTCTTTCTGATAAAAATCCCTTGGTTCAGAAAATGGAGTTTAGCCTAACAAGCACTGATAGGATATAACAGAACCCACATTAAATCAGGTCTTATGGAAATGCATGTAAAATGAGTAGGTTTAAACTTGCAAGACTCACCAAGAGTTCGGAAAGGCCTTTGTTGTGGGATAAGGGAGAAGAATCCGGGCTTCAAAGCATTTGTGATGATAACATCAAAAAGTTCCTCAAAATCTTTCCTGAAACCAAGACATGAGGTACAATCCCATTTAGAAATACTGTACTTCAAATCATACTGAAGGATTAATGTCATCTGAATATATTTGTCAGATGTATCAAAACGTTTTACAGGATGTACAAACATTGACAACAAGTACTCTTTTGTGTTTCTTGTCCCTTGATTTTCTGTGTCAACGGATCAGATGACGTTCTCCCTGACAGACATTAGCACATATTCATCACAAAGGTCTTTTGTTACATTTTAAAAACACAAAAAAGTACCCACAAATCCAAGTCATTACCTATTAATTAGCCTTAGACTAGTTAAGTACAAACAAAAATGTTCAGATAGGAGGAAGGCATTTAGCCCATCTTGCTAGCATGTGTGCTTGATGTGCGCTTAAGGAAACAAGAATTCCATCAAGCCATCCCGTAAAGCACCCTATCCTATCATTTTTCTCAGGCTGTATCTAACATCACTTAAGGTTAATAAAATTGCATGGTATGAAGTGAATAGGCAACTGTAAATACTCTGCCCGCTGGTAAGGTAGTGCTAAATAGAAGGGTCTAACAAAATACACAATGTGGCACAGACCTAATTCAAGAATAAAATCCTGTGTTTCCTGATCCAGTTTTGCTGAATCTCTTAAGATTAAACTAGTCAAAGAGCAGGTATCATGATGGAGGATTACAACGACATGACCAATGAAATGAGGCAAACATTGTCATAATAGTCATAATCGGAGCACTTGCTGCTGCAGAAAGACCTTGGCAGAAGATGGCTCAGTTACCCGTTCATATTCAGAAATGTTTCTGCAGATATTGAAAAGAGGAGAAGAAAAAACGACAGTAGCAACTTTTTGACCAAAAACATTTGGCAGAATACTGAAAATGCTCACTTTGTTTAAAAAGCTGCAATTGCCATTTTTTTCCTGAATATTATTTTCCTGAAAATTATGATGAATAATAATATAATCATTCTTTGGAATACAGCTAACTTTTATTGCTTTAATAGTGCCTCCCCGACAAATTAAAAATCAGTGTTTACAGGGGCAAAAAAATTGTTCTTCCAGTTGCTCTTTACTCACACCGTGGAAGGACTATAAAGAATATGTTTACTGGTCAAAGGAAAAATAATTAACAGGCCCGCTGTCTGACATGCACTTTAATGTAAACAGAGCCTCACTGGCTTCAGTGCAGAGCAGACTCTTACACTGACCCCTGATTTATCTCCAACAAAGTCTGGTTCCTCAAGTTCCAGTTTCGTGTGTACTAAAACTAAATCCTCTCCAGAAAAGGCACACCACATTTCTTGCCAACTGCTGCATAAATAATTGATTTTGAGAGTGTCCTACAAACAGTTCCGACAGTGGATAGAGAAATAAACACAGGCAAGACTGACTTGCCGTTTGACAGGAAATGTTTGTGGAAAAAACCACACTGCTGAACTCCCATGGGAAACTTGGCATCTATTTATTTTCCGATTATAAATGTAACTTTCCATAACTCCCAATAGTTTGTCATCCTTTGATGTTTTTTCTGAATGCCTTCTTGTTTGTGTAGCTTGTTTTCTAAACAAGACTATAGATCATCTTCAGTTCTTATCCACATTTCAAATCATTTTATTCCTCCTAGAGGTCAAGGGTATCTCTAAATTTACTGCACAGCTAAGAGACTCCAAGTTGGATCAGTCTATAACAATAATTAAGACAGCTGCCAGCTACATTTTTTATTTTGTATCCTTTCACTAACACACAAATTGAATGTTTCGATGTCCGCACTGTTGTGCAGAAGACATTGACATTTTGCATTGTTCTGCCATTCCCACTTAATGTTTTCTTTCTTTATATAAACCCAATTCTATGGCGACCTATTGAACTTTTAGCCATTGTAAACTAACCGTTAATCCTGACAGTTTATTATTGTACAGAATTTGTTTTTTTTAGTTCAGGTTATTGTCATATGCACAAGTGCAATGAAATGGTTATTTGCATATTTGCTCCAATACAATAACATTAAAAGAATCACCAAAACAGTTTTTTTTAATTGTGTGCATAATATATAGAGAAGAACCAAAAGATGTTAGAGATGGGAAATAGGGAAATAGGAGGCAATGAGTCATTTGACTGGCAAATGTGATGGATTATTACTATATACTATTATATAATACTATTATTATTATTATTATTATTATTATTATTATTATTATTACAACAGTCATAATATTAGACCTACTGTAGTACTATTACTACAACAGCAGACAGAGTCATATTGGATGCGCAGAGTTTACCTTGAGCTGCTTCGATCAAGACTTTAAAGATTATGAACAATGTTAACTGAAGACTTCAATTAACAAGCATGTTTCTTCTTACCCTTCCTAAGCTATAATGTTAACTTTACAACTGTCAACAGTGTTATAGTACTAGACAAAACAGTAGTAAGAGCAGTAGCCTTATTAGCAATTAATTGATTCTCTTAACATTCATGTAGTGTAACTCCTGACTGCGTCTAAGACTTTGGCACAGCACTGTGAGCTAGGGTAGTTGCACCTTTGGCATTTTACACTCACCCCAGAATGTAGTCACAGACGAGCCTGCAGTAGTCACTGTGAGAACTGGTGATCAACAAGAGAACCTTTCCAGCATTTTTCATGCTCCTAAGCCAGGCTTTCACAGAATCGGAGCAGGGCTGCAAATATTTGCCAGGGTCATTTTTCACACTTGGGAAGTATGTGCCAGCATTTTCTGAACAGGAAAAAATAAAGATGAAGGGGTTATTCAACTTTGCAATCTACGGTATGTCAGACCACAAAAACACCACAGAAAGTAGCAAAAGAGCAAAACACACCTAAAGCCAACAGCTTTGAGCAAATACAGATAAAAAATAAAGATGCACAAATCTTTACTCTGTCTAAATTTAATGTAATGCTTTTTTCACAGGGACTGTTGCTAACAAGTAAGATATACATGTAAATACATCTTTAATCACATTTGTTCATCAAGACAAATCCTCTTTTAGAAGAAAACTTTAA